TTTGCTTTTCTTCACTTCAGCTTAAAAGGATCCTCAGGGTATTCACTAGGCCTCAGGCACGTGCAGAGGGGGGTGCGATGGGTGCTTGAGCACCTGCCCCTTTTCCCCTTGATGCCCAAAGTGCCCTTTTGTCAAGGCAAAAACATTTTTTTTTTGTAATTAAATGCCATTTTGTGAAGGCCTGCCCAATCTAACAATTAGTAAAATGGATGAATAATAATTTAGTCGTGATAAAATTATCCACATGATGATGACCTTTCACCTGACGATCTCATCAGGGATTATCCCTCATGTTCAGACACCTTTAATATAGAGCACTACCAGGATGCCTTCATAAGGTCCGCGGCTGCCGGTAAGTGCAGTTCTCAGCGGAGCGGTGTGCTTGTATACTTATATTATTAAATGATTATTATTATACAAGAACTGCGAAGAGACCCATTTTTATCACAGAATAAGGCAGGAAATTTATAGTTTCTATAGACGGTTTAAACGGCAACAACATAAACAAACGTTACTGCGCATGCGTGCTTTTGTACCAGAACAAATAGCCATGCCCCAAACTCCCATTGGTTCAGCCTATGTTGCTATGCTCAAACAAACAAAGCAATGTTTTGGTTGCTCGGTTGGGGGTGCTGTGTGTGTCCGTGTTGGGTGAAAGGGTGAAATGCTAAAACTGAATAAATTTAAATGAACAAACTTGGCGTTGCGTTTGCAACCATGTGAAAACAGGGGGTGCTGCAGCCCCCTCAGCACCCCTACTTCCCACGTCCCTGGTCTATAGGCAACTAAATTATATGTCAATTAGTACTGCATTATTCATAACGTTTATTTATTACTTGGAGATAACTTGAAAAACACACATAAACCGTATATTTTCGCAATCGTGTGTTTATTGTCTTCACGTTTTTTTCTGCTTTTTATTCAGCTCAGCTACAGCGATAGCCGGGTGCTTTTGTCCATATTAGGGTTTGCTGCATGTCATAAGTCATTCCTTCTATGAGTCTGTTTTGGACTT